TTGAGGGTTTATATATATATATATATATATATATATATATATATATATATATATAAGGGATTTCACCCATTATGTACGAGTTTACAAACATATAAAGTTGAAACACCGGTTCCTGTACGAACCCAGAAGTTAAGCAATGTCGGAAGTGGTAGGTATGTAGATATGTTAACGCTTGGGAATACCAGATTACAGTAAGATTTTATGCGCGGATGGTCATCTAGAATTTTGGGAGGTGCACACATAGACTGTTGTAAAATATTCACAAAAGAGCAGAGGAGAAATCACCTGCCAAGCTCTGGTCATCAAGACTTTTGGGAGATGGACCCATATAACTACAGAAATATTCACAAATGACCAGAGGAGAGACCATCTACCAATCTCTGTATCAGTTCACAATTATACTTACTTCTCCCTCCTCCAGAAAAATTAATACCACTGCATAAATACTAATAAGCATTACAAATTGGAATTTCTACCATTTATATATGCACAATCGCCAAAAACAACAAATAACCGGCTTTAAAATAACAAAACAGACTTAAATAATTAAGAAATAATTGCAGTTTTTACCTATCATAGACTTACACAGATCCCATCACACGTATATACGTGTGTGAGAAAATATTATTCAGTTAACAAAAATAGAAAAACGGTCTGCGCGCTGACAGCGCAACAGGTAAGGAAATATTTGCTACACTATCCAACATTGAATACAGCGACCAAATGCGTACGTGTGTGTGTGGAACGACACATATATGAGCATATATAACTAATCCCACACTGCTCATATATGTTTATGTTTGTGTGAATTCCGGTGAGTGAGACAGGGTGAAGTAATGGATAGCGGCTCGAGAGCCGATTGCGAATTCCAGTCGTAACCATTACGTGCTTGTCTTCTTCTCCTCCCAGCTATGGGTATATAGCTCTATAGCCTTGGATGGCAACTAGTCTAGAAGGCAACTCTCAATCCAAAACCTGCGGTAGAGCGTTTGGGCATCTTATTGCACGTAGTGCACCATACCTCTGTATTCGGCCCTTCTGCACAAAGCCTTCACCAATATAATCAAATCATAAGCGCTGGTGTCTGGGCTGTCGTTTTCTAACAAGTGACCTGCTTCACCTTCATACGTCGAATACGACGGGAGTGTCCACCATATGTGTGTATGCATATATATATATATATATATATGTGTGTGTGTGTGTGTGTGTGTGTGTGTGTGTTTATATATATATAAATATAAATATAAAAGTGAACATTGATGTCAACACTCAGAGGCAACAGGCTGTTCCATGCAAGACGCAATCGTCAGACCGCGAGTGTTGGATTTTTCTCGACTATTTATATATATGGGTTAGTGGTGCATTGTGGGCAATCCATTCTCGCGGTTATTTTGATTGGAATGGCTTGTTTTAGTTAATTTGTTTATTATTTTATTTATTTGGATTGATTATTTGGATTTTATTAATTGGATTGTTTATTTTTACTTGTTTTTACTTATTTATGTTTATTTTTATTAGTTCTAACGGTTATTTTAGCGGAAGCGATTTGTTAATTTATTTATTTATTAGGATTATTTTTTTCTTATTTATTTGCTCATCTTTTATTTTGTATATATTTTTTTTATTTACTCTATTCGGTTTCCGTTTTTTATCGTTATATTGCAGTTATAGTTATTTTCTCGTTCAATTTTTGGATTGATTGTTTTTATCTATTCTAGCGGTTATTGGTTCGTTAATTTGTTTATTGTTAACTTTATTTGGATTGATTATTTTTACTTGTATAAAATTCTATTTTTATTTGTTCTATTTCGTCTATTCTAATGGGAGTAGTTTGTTAATTTTTTCTTGGGTTAATTTATTTTACTTGGATTTTTTATATTATTTTTGGTTATTTTTATTTACTCTTTTTAGCTTTCGATTTTTAAGTAACGTAGTAAAAATTTGTTTACATATCTGCATTTTGAGATGAGCTCAGATCGTTTATTTAGTAACTTATTTTGATTTGGGAAGGTAATAATAACTATTTTTTCCTCCAGGCAAAGTTTTCAGGTTTTGGATTCATTGTTGTAGGCTGATGCTCTTTTCCTTATTTTCCATGATATTCTTTGTGGGATTTGCGTTTTGTTAAATTCCCAGATATACTTAGAAAGTATTGTGCTCTTCGCGTATTTACTATTTCTGAAAGATCCCAGTCCGAATCAAAATATTAAATACGTGACCTAAACAAATCCCACCAAATTATTTACTACGTTAATAAAACATCAAAAACCGAAAAAAATAAATAAATATAAAATAAAAAAATGAAAATAAAAAACAAGTAAAACAAATTAACCCAAATAAAGAAAGAAAGAAAGCTACTCCCGCCAAAATAACCGCCAGAATTGATTACCCACAATGCACCACTGACCCATATATATAAATTGTCGAGAAAAATCCAACACTGACGATTGCGTCTAGCATGAAACAGCCTGTCGCATCTGAGTGTTATCTTCAATGTTCACTTTTATATTTATAAATATATCACACTTTAAAGCTATATTTCTGTATCTTTCTGTATATATATATATATATATATATATAGAATGCGACAAAGTGGAAAAGCATATAAACGACACATTTCGCATCTGTTTCTTAATGTCAAAATGAAAGGCAAAATCTACACTCATCTATAAAACAGAAAAAAAAATATTATTCATTACAGAAATTTTATGGTATTTATTATTATTATTGGATTTCTGTTGTATACTCATTTCTTTCTGGGTCCCAAAAAGAGACCTAAGGTCAGAAATGGCATCATGACATTTTCCACTAAGTAATTTTGTAAAAAAAAAACACATTTTACAATGGTAAAGATCTTCGTAAGGAGTGAACTGTACTTATGAGTACAATTTTTTGCATTTGTTTAAAGATCCAAAAATTCCTTCAATGAGTCTATCGGACCCTTTTTCTAATCAATCCGAGGGCTCCAATTACAACTAAAAGTATTGATCTCTTCATGCGCCACCTTTTTTTTTCAAATTTCTACGTCAAGATCCTTGTATTATTATTATTATTATTATTTTATATCCTTTGATTTTTGATGTGTACTTATTTCTTTCAGGGTCACGCCAAGCTGATTAGTAATGGCATCATGACGTTTTCCACTTCAAAAAAAAAAAGTTCACTACAGGCATCTTTTCCAACCAATCCGAGGGCTTCAGCTACAACAGGGATTGTTGATATTCCCATGTTCCACATTTTTGAGATTTCGATTACCAGGTCCTTGTATTTTGATAACTTTTTGAAGATCTGCAAAGATACATTGCAGTCTGCAGGGACTGCCATATCAATAAGGAGGCACCTTTTTGTGTGCGATCTCTAATAACAATGTCTGGGCGGTTGGCTTTGATTGTTCTGTCAGTGTGTATTGTGTAGTCCCATAGAATTCTAACAGGTCCTATCTCCGTAACCGGGTCTGGGTGGTGTTTATACCAGTTTCTTTCAGTTTCCTTCCCATAGAAGTTGCAGATTTTCCAGTGCAGTTATTGGCCTACTCCGTCATGCCGGTTTTATATTCAGTGGTTGCCAATACCATGCAACCTGATACAAGATGATCGATTGTTTCTGGGTAATTATCACAGAACCTGCATTTTGGGCTAACACAATATTTTAGTATATGTGCTTGATAATTTCGGGTTAACAAGCACTGGTCCTGTGCAGCAAGGATATAACCTTCCGTTTCAGCTTTTAACTCTACACTACGCAGCATCTTGTCTACATCAGCTTGTTTGGTACGGGCAGAGTATTGGCCATGAAGCGGTTTATCTTGCCATTGTTTCTGTATCTGGTCGGTTGCATCTGTCTTTGTTTTCTTTTTTAAGTATTTTTTATTATTATTATTATTATTATTAACTAAGTAAATACAACCTCTCGAGAATCAATTTTGTGATTCTATTTAGTTAGTGCTTTATATTCTGTTGATATATAAACATCGAAACATTTCTCCTCCTTCCCAGTTCGATGATTCAAAAGAATATCTTGTTTTTTTCTGTAAATACAGCAAATATAAAATACAAAGACATTTGTATAAAACTTTGGTTTAAAGGATAAAGGATTCTGGCTTATAATCGAAGTTAATAAATGTACATTTTGCACGTATGTTTTCGTAAAGAGCTCTTTGAGGCTCTAGGGAACGCTTGGCAGTGACGTAATTGTTTCTGTCTTCGTCTACAAACATTTAATTCAACTCGGATATATGTCCATATTTTGAGCTGTATTTTCATTGATATAAAGTTTCCTTTCCTTTTTTTTTCTTTCATCTTTTTCTTTAATTTTTATAAAACTTGTTTTGATAGAATGTGATTAAGCAATCTTACTGTAGAGACATTAACGGTTGGTTTTGAAATAGCAACGCCTCTTCGTTTTTCTAAGATTGAAATTACTTTGAATTTTATTGGCAAGCTAAACACGTTTGTTTGTTAAAAGCGCGCCATCCATGTTTTTTGTTGATTTCCAAAAGTGGTAAAAAAACATTCGGGTGCTAAATGTGTGTGTGTGTGTGTGTGTGCTGAAAAGTTGTTTGCACGATTGAGAACCATTTTGAAGTTAAAATGCTTGCTTAGATTTTTAGAAGTTGGTCGGGCAGAAAACCTTCGTCACACTCACTTATACATATATATATATATATATATATATATATATATATATATATATATATACAGAGAGAGAGAGAGGGAGCGAGAGAGAGGGAGATATAGAAACAGACAGACAGACATAGATACAGAGAGAGAATTGAGTGTATACTAGTTCACAAGATATATAGATATTTAAAATTCGAATTTACAAAAAAGAAAAAAAAGCTGTCAGTTGATCTCTCTCTCTCTCTCTCTCTCTCTCTCTCTCTCTCTCTCTTTCTATCTATCTATCTATCTAAGTATTCTCATATCTATCTATCTATCAGTCTGTCTATTAATTTCCTTCCATTACTAAATACGTATATGTCTATATGTATCTAAGATTGTTCAATAACACACATAAATGCACACGTATATAGATAGATAGATAGATAGATAGAAATGGACTGAGATAGATAGATAGATAGATAGATAGATAGATAGATAGATAGATAGATAGATACCACATCTGTACTTAAGTGAATGCGTGGGAATGGCTTTGTGGGAGAGATAAAGTGAAAGAGAGAGATCCTCGTTAAAATTCGAAGAAGAATCTGCAATTTTATATATCTTGACCTGACATCTCGGCTTAAGTGACTTTCTCACCACCTTAACACAACTTACCAGTCCTTTTTCTATAAATATTTTCCTGGTAATTGTTCTCATTGCCTTTCCTCTTTAGCATCTAGTCTTTATAAATTAAGTGCAGTACTAAATCGAATGGTAGGTTTCATCATTTTACAGTTGAAATGGCTACATGTAACCGTAAGTTCTATGTTAACAGTTTCTTCGCTCGCACTTCTCGTTTGTGGAACGCTCTTCCGGCTTCTTGATTTTCTAGTTAACTTTGATCTTCAAAAATGTAAATGCAGTAGCTATTGTTATCTTATGTCTTCTTAATTCTCGTTCTATTATTGTTCTCTCTTCGCAATAATGGTTATCATTTTCTCATATTCTTTCGCATTCAGTAACCTCTTGCTTCTAAGCGGTTTTATTGTCTCCCTTGGGGTGGGGTACGAGCTAAAAAATGTTGGTGGAAATTCATTTAATAACAAATGGAGTTAAATAATTACCGAAGTAATGAAAAGTTTCACATTTTAATCACAGACCAATTACAAAATTGCCGATGGTTACATTACACCATATACACACGAGCGTGTGTACAGTTACACACACACACGCGCGCACACGCCCCCCACGCCCCCACACCCCACACGCCCCCCATATATATATATATATATATATATATTAAGAAAAAACCACTTTAAGGTTCCATTATAATTTTTTATTTCACCTGAGCCCTTTTAAAAGACGCTGGATCATCAGATAGCACTTCAAAAAATGTAACTTTCATCTTTTTGAAGTGCTATCTGCTGGTGAAATAAATATTATAATGTAACCTTAAAAGTGGTCTGTTTTTTTTAAAATATTAGCTCTGGATTTACATTGAGCTCTCAGGATTTCATCCTCCTTGGGACTACCCATACGGATTACCAAGTTTTTCTTAAATATATATATATATATATATATATATATATATATATATATATATATATATATACACACACAAGTTTCATTAAAAACGACGTGCAAGGTACTGCTATTAAGCTTTTTATTCAGTTTTTCTTGTGCTCATGTAAGTGTTTTCTTTCTAGACATAAATTATGTAGAATGCTCGGTTTGTCCAAGCGCTTTCGGATATTCTTTTAGCCATTATCAAGGATTATTTTATTTTTACGTTTAACTGAATATAAGGATGCATGTATTTAGAGTTATAGGAATTATCTTATTTTCTAAACACAGTCAGCACACTGTGGCCGTGTTCGTAGTTGATGTTACTGAGTGTTGCCTTTCTTCTTTTTCTTAATAATGCTTCCATTATTTTTAACCTATTTTTACATGTGGATGTGACTATTATATTTGTATTATCAACGTGTATGTTGCGGATGGATTTGTTAGGTTTCCGTGTGTACTTAAATAAGATCTAATTGTGCTATGGTCAGAGTGATGTAATGTGAGTCTTCTTGTTAAGCATGTGGTGGTATATTGAATATATTCACGAATTTGGTTTGATCAGAAGCACTGTTCTTTTAGACACATGTGAATTCCTAGATGATATTGGTTCACTGTAATTTGGATTTTGACGATGAGGTTAGCAGTTTTAAATTTTTGTAGTAGGTAATTAATTTAATTTTGTTTTTGTTTGTTTTGTATTGACTGACGTTGTATATTTCTTCATAATCTTTATAAGGGAAGATTCATCCTGTTTATAGTTACCGTGCATTTGATTATTATAGAAAATGTCATTGTTTTTATCTGTATATTCAATGTTGTTATTGGGTATCTTAAAAAGAAAAAAAAATCTCGGTGATCTATGAGTTAATTCAAAAAACCGTTATTAACTAGCGTCTGTTTATACACACACAGAGAGACACACACACACATATTATGTAAAGTTAGTGTTCTATAATATATATATATTAAGTTTTGAAAGGATTTTTTGTCCGAGATTATTTCCTTTGTTATCTTTGCTGATTTGCTATCCTTAATTTGTATTTTCGCAAACAGTGAAATTATTAACAACCGGCCTAAAGTGAGAAGCCATACTAAAGAAAAATGTCCCCGAAAGGAATCAAGCCAAAATCGCTTTTTTCCCAGAGTAAAAAGGACTTTTATCATTTCAGCCACGAAACCAACCCCTCCGAGCCCGTTGGAATTACCTAAATAACCTGTATATATATATATATATATATATATATATATATATATATATATATATATTAGATCAATGTAAGTAGGCAGAGCAATATAATAATGAGTACAGACGATCTTCAAAAATCCATTCGGTTATAATTTATTTCATGAATATACAAATAGTCATCTCTTCAGACCGAAGTTTTTGCTTTGTTTTTTTTTTTTTTTAAATGGAATCAATTTATCCAGACTACAGAAAAGGGGAGAGGAAAAAAATTAATATTAAAAGAGAAATAAAGAAAAATAACAAAATTCAATATATGGTTTTAAAAAAAAAGATTGTTGGGGAAGAAAGATAAAGAAGAGAGAGAAGGTGAGAGTTTAAGAAGGAGGGAAAGAAAAGAAAGAAGGAAAAATTAAACATGAGTTGATTGGGTGACCTAGAAACGATTTTTTTCTTTAAGGACTTAACAAGTTAAAATACAGTCTGTACTCATTATATATATATATATATATATATATATATATATATATATATATATATACACATGTGTGTGTGTGTGTGTGTGTATAATACCAGTATAAAGTTTGTCACTTCGTTCATTGGTATTACCTTCAGTATCCCGACTCCAGTGTTTCGTAGACAGTCCCTCCTAGAATCACTTTGTCCACTCGTCAGTGGTTTTCAGCAACTGACTATTTATATTTCTCGATTTTTCTCTTTTATATATGCACTTTTCCTTGGTGCATCGTTGATATTTTTGTCCAAGTGTTTTCCTCTTATTTGAGGAAAACAACCTTTCTCTTATTGGCGAACGCGGGGCGCTTTTCGACCAACACTTTATTGGACACGTTGCATCTGCTGAATGTGTAAATGTGCATTTAGAGTTTCATTGCATTTTAAGAAATAATAAAGATATAATACATGGACGTCCACACTATTTGCACAACGTTATGTTTCTTTCATAGAGTTTGATGTCGGCTGTGAAGAGTTATCCTTCTTGATCCATTGCCATTTGCGATTAGCATTGTTGTATACCACCCATTTTTCATCGCCTGTTATGATATAATTAAGAAACTTTTAGTTAGGATGATACGTAATTGGTTCACAAAGCGGAAATTACTTATGACTCAATTTAATATATTATTAAAATAAATTTAAATTACAGGATGTAATATCTCTGCTAATAATTTCCTCTACTGCATTCCACGCTCATGAAAGTCTCTTCCGGCTTGCTGCTTTCCTGTCAAGCATGATCTTCAAAAGTTTATATGCAACGACAATAATCATTTTCTGTCAGCTTGAATTATGTCTCTTTTTTATCTATCTATCTATCTATCTATCTATCTATCTATCTATCTATTTAATAAATGCCAATGTCAGTGTGTCACTGTGACACACTTTTTCAGTTAAAGAAACACAAGTCTCTAACTTTCACAAGCTCATGTGTCAGAAATTTTGGATTCTCAAGTTTTCATTACTACGATTGTTTTCACGATTTTACGTGTTTTTTGGACGATTTTTTTTTTTTTTTTTTTTGTACGATAACAATTTTTATAACTTGGAAATAAATTTGGGAATAATCGGAATTAATTGCTAAATCCAGCCAAAGTCGCTCATGAAATAAAAATAATCGTTTGTACGGAAAGTAAGGGCCTACGTACATCAAACCGTCTTTAAATTAAGTGGCGACAGAAGAGTTGCCGTTGACCTTTTGAAAGGTAAGCTTAAATATTAATGCAATACTTAAATGCAGCGATCAATTTTGAGTTCTTCTGTAGTTTATTGTTGCCTATCGCGTCTACTCCTCCCTGCCTATTGTGATGAAGGCTCAATCAATTAATACAAGTAAAAGGTTTGTCACTTAGCTGATAGATGTTACCTTCAACATTCGGGATTCAGAGTTTCGTTTATGAACCTTCCGGGAATCACCCTGTCCACTCGTCAGGAGTATCAGTATATATTATTATTATTATTATTATTTTCTCTCTCTCGCTCTATCTATCTATCTATCTATCTATCTATCTATCTATATATATATATATATATATATATATGTCTTACCGTCTCGGACACGTCAGCGTAAATGACGGTTCCATATATATATATATATATATATATATATATATATTCAAAAAGATATGAAGTTCGGACCGTTAGCACTTGGTTACCTGGCAATCGCACTAGCGTGAAATTTAAGCAGTGGTCACAATGTCTTTTAGAACTGTTTAGGAAGGTATATATCTTTTGAACTTTATTTGTTGGTATCTTGCGGAGTTATCACGTTTACAAACCGGTTCCCGTACGATCACTGAAGTTAAGCAACATCGAGTCTGGTCAATACCGCTAGGGAATACCAGGTGCTGTAAGCTTGGATATGCCTGGTGGTGCAATGGAAAATGGCTCGCAATTGTTAATTGAAAAGTCTAGTTCCAATTCCCGTTGGGTTTGTTATATTCATTTAAATGCAAATCCCCTTGGAAAAGGTGTGAATCTACAACTTCTCCTCTCAGCTATGGATTAATTAGTAAGACTTGTATTGCTAAATCATTTTTATCTCCAAAAGAAAATTCTTACCGTCTTAAACTATTTTGTGGCTTTAAATAACCTGCAAATGGTTGATAAGCCATAGAAAACAACCAATCAAAAACTTAATAATTGATATGCCATAATATTTCTCTCTCTCTCTCTCAACTGCTAAGAAAGTTGGTTCACTGTGTTGTGCTACACAATATTTTCCTACCAGAATCTATCTTACACATTTATAAGTCTACCATTCATCCATGAATTGAATATTGCTGCCATATATGGTCTGGTGCTTCTTATATTGAGTTTAGAGATTATTGATTAAATCCAAAGAATCTGCAATGTCATTTGGCATCTTTTCTATAAATACTTTAAAGGTAATTATTCTGATGGGCTTTCCTCTTTGGCACCTAGACTTTACAAATTTAAGTGCAGTACTCGATTTGCAGTCAGGTCTCATCATTTTACAGTTGAAATGGCTACATGTAATTGTAAGTTCTGTACTAAAAGTATCTTCTCTTACATTTCTCACTTGTAGAACTCTCTTACAGTTTTTTTTTGTTTTCCATTCAGATTTGATCTTTAAAAATGTAAATATTGAATATTGCTGCCATATCTGGTCTGGTGCTTTAAATAAGCCGCAAAACAGTTGATAAGCCATAGAAAATGAATCAATTATTTTGGAAAGGCAAGCAATATTCGACCTGGTCAGTACGTAGATGAGTGACCACTTTGGAATAGCAGGTACTGTAAGCATGGATGTGTGGATAATGTAATGGATAATGTCTCTGAATTGTTAATCAAAATCAAGTTCTAATGCCTGTTGGGTTCATTACATTTACTTATGTGTAAATACTCTTGGGAAAGATATCAGTCCACCTTTTCCTCTCCAGCTATGTTTTAATTAGTAAAGACTTGTATCGTTAAATGGATTATTATGTCAAAAAATTCTTTCAATCTAAAAATATTTCTAGCTTTAAATAACCTGCAAAGGGCTGATAAGCCATAGAAAATGAATCAATTATTTTAGAAAGGTTTAAGTCCCTACTTCTTGGAACAAATGAAATGATTTGGTGTTTGGGTCTTCATCAGGATATATGTAAGACTGGATTGATAAAAGATTTTTTTTATTAGATCAAGCCATTCAGGCAGTAAAATCTTTGAAAATGGTTTCTGATGGATGTGAAGTCATTTGTTTTTATTGATGTTAGATTAACATAGCAGATATACAAATTTTATATTCAATAGGCACATGATTTTCTGATATTGCTTCATGACATATATGCCATTATTGCAACCCTTATCAGAATGAAAGCCAAATTAGGTTGTTAGAAATTGACTCTCATAGAAAGTTGAGTTTAGTTAGTAAAATATTAATCAATACTTTCAACATAATGAATGGAGTTAAGATACCTCTGTATTTGTGAGGCCTTCCAGGATTACCTTTTTTAAATTATTGTGTGATATACCTTACTGCATTAGAATGTGTTTTCATTCCAGACTTCCTTCATAAAACTGAGAAACTTATTTTTGAATTTGGAATGAGACTATGCTACTTTCAAAAGTTCAATCTGAATGTCAAATATGGAATTAATATTTTTATATTTTTTATATGGCTTTCTTGACTTCCTCATTACTAAGTTGCTGTTTAAATATGTGGACAGACTTCATCAAGGGGGTGTTGCTAAGACAAAAATAATATTCGAATCATAAAATATTTTCTGCCTTTAAATAAATTGCAATGGTTTGATAAGCCATAGAAGTAGAATATATCAATCTATATTTTTTCCTCTCAGTAAACCCTAGCGTTTTAGTTGCTTTAATGTCTTGCTTGCAGTAAAATTATATATATATATATATATATGTATGTATGTGTGTGTGTGTGTGTGTGTGTGTGTGTGTGTGTGTGTACTAAGTTGGCCAAAAAGTTCGTTCGCTTATTAAGTTGAAAATATACTTCATAAACTGAACGATTTTTTGACTAACGAAATATATATGTGCATACACACACATACAGGCGTACACACACACACGTACACAGACACGACATGGTCTCTGGTAAATGCTGCCAATAATAATAATAGTTACTAATGGCATATATATATATATATATATATATATATATATATATATATATATATATGCATGGGAACAGGCGCGCAAGTTTGTGCCAACGATTAGTGAATATAAAAACGAAAAGTCAAGAACTATAAGAAGTCAATTGTTGATACTCGCTGAGGAATGGACGGATCTGTCCGTCGACGAAACGCTGGAGTCGAGATGCTGAAGATAATAGTAATCAGCGAAGTAACAAAATTTATATTTGTATTAATCTTATATATATATATATATATATATACAGACACACATACACACAAATATATATATATATATTCATTTCAACCCTAGCATCTTGATAATAGTCACTCAAGCGCAAGCGGTTACTGAGAATGAAAGTAACAGAGAGTATAATAATAATAATAAATATATATATATATATATATATATATATATATGAAGAACAGGGTTTAAGGAGACAGGAGATGACTATTGACACTTCATATGAATTCTTAGTTGACAGGACATCAAGAAGAAGGAAAACAATTCCACTTGAGAGAAGTGCGGAAGAAGAAACTATTTGCATAAAACTTACGGCTGCATCTAGCAATTTCAACTCTAAAATGATGAGACCTAACTGCCAATCTAGTACTGCGCTGTGTGTGTGTGTGTGTGTGTGTGTGTGTGTGTGTGTGTGTGTGTGTGTGTGTGTGTGTGTGTAAAAATAAAGAACTTTAGGTGGGTTCCCAAATGTTTTCTGCTTATGTCAGTTTCATGTGTTTAGAGTGATCATTAGCGATAGCGACGTTATGCCTCCATTCACCTTCCCACGGGCCTCATACTCAACACAGAGGCCTACATCAAGTGCCTTGATGATGTAGTGTTGCCCTGAGTCAAGAGGGTAGCTGCTGGATTATCCTATGTCTGGCGACAGGACTCTGTACCATGCCACACAAGCAGGAGAACCCAGTCATAGCTGTCAGACAATTTCTGCCATCACATCACACTTTACATCTGGCCAACTAACTTCCCAGATTGTACCCCTTGATTATTATGTGTGAGTGACTGTTCAGCGAGAGATTAACAAAACTCCTAGTAACACCAAAGATGAACTGAAGGCAAGGATTATGGCAGCATTCACCAGCTTAAACAAGGAGACCGTCCAGAAGAGTTGCAGGGGATTCCGAAGTTGTCTGAAAGCCGTTGTTGAAGTCAGCGGCGATTTTATTGCATAAATTTACTCTTTAGCATTTCAAGATATTTTTTGTGTAATTTTGGTAAATACATCTGTTAAAACGAGTTGTGAGTTTTATTTTATTTTTACGCAATTTGGGCAACATTTTGTCCATCACACTTTGCATATAAATTGTGGTCAGATGTATTACAGCGAACTTCCAATGCGTTTGAAGTGCTATAACGGGAAATTTTATAGACAAAATTTGGCCTAGCGATGGGCTCACCGCTCAGCGGAATACTGGTATGCCTTTTCGTATATAAGTTTCCGTGTGACGCGTTTCATCCTTTGGGACTTCATCAGACTGAAATGATGTTTGCGTTGATCCGACAACACATGTGCACAAAGGAGAAAGTAAGCTGAGAATTTTAAATTTAATTTTTACATAGATTTCTCTAAAATATGTTATCTCATTTTCCGAGATATATATATATATATATATATATATATATATATATATATATATATATATATATAACTTATTCAACCCCAAACAAAGCGGGAAGCCACTACCACACAAGGGGGTTACAGAGAGTTGGTACGAGAGCAAATAGGAGTGATAGAGGAAAGGATGAAGAGAAGGATAGGGGATAGATCAAGGCATCTGAAGACGTCGATTTACATTACATTTGAATAGCTGGAAAAATCAGGGAAACATGAAGAGGGGAGGGTGTTCCACAGGCGAGAGGTGCGAGACATGAAGCTATTGGAGTAGAAGAGACGGCTACATTTAATAGTTTCGACAGTAAAAGGGTGAGAGCGATTTGCCAGCCTAGTCGAACGCTTAAATTCATGAAGTCTGGGAACCAGCAAAAGCAGCTCATCGGAGCAGTTACCATGAAAGTATTTGTAAAAAACGACAGAGGGAGGCGACGGCACGTCTGTGAGAGAGCGACTGCAGACGAGATGCCAGATCAGGGCCAATTACATTGCATATACGTCTCTGGATTTTATCAAGAACCTTGAAGCAAACAGATATGGTATCAATACTCCATGCAAGAGTGAATGGTTGATTTATAGATCTGAAGGATTGACTTCCTGGCACGGCACAGGGAGCCAACTTTCCTTCGGTGGACGAAGCTATTGACTCAATGTATTTGTTCCATCTCAGGTCAGCGGACAATGTGAGACCTGAAATTGCATAACCCTGAAGCTTGCAAAGAAGGCCGGCATGCCAAATACTATCAAACGCTTTGGAGATATCTAGTGTCACGGCACGAGCTTCTCTGTTATTATGAAGTGCTTGGTAAACAATTTATATATATATATATATATATATATATATATAATGGATCGATATATATACTTGATAAAAGCATGGACATAATGGTCGAAATATTGTGATAGCAAAAATAAAGATGATGACAATAGTCCGCTTAATGGAAATAAACAAACAAACAAGAAACAAGAAATTAGGTTAGAAAGAAAATCGAAAAGGAAGAAAGTTCAGATAATTTCGCGGCTGAAAATTGTGAATAGCGTTTTTGGCTGGGAGAAAATTAAGAAGAACCTGACGTTTCCGCAGACCCAAACATGGAAACAATGATCGAAAAAGAAAAGTCAAAAGTCAAAACAAAGAAAAAAGAAAGAAAAATAAAAGAAAGAAAGAAAGAAAGAAAGAAAGAATGAATGAAAAATGATAGAATGAAGGAAGAAAATGAAAGAAAGAAAATAAATGGAAATAAAGAAGAAACGAAAGAAAAAAGAAAGAAAGAAAAAAGGAAAGAATGAAAGAAAGAAAGAAAAAAATGAAAGAAAAAAGAAAGAAAAGAGAAAGAAAGGAGAAAGTGAAAGAAAGAGAAAGAAATGAATAAAAATAGGAAGAAATGAAAGAAAGAGAAAAGAAGAAAGAAAATGAAAGAGAATGAATGAAAATAATGAAAGAACGAATGAAAGAAATAAAGAAAATGAATGAAAATAAGGAAGAAGTGAAAGAAAGAAAAACGAAAAAATGAAGGAAAATAAGAAAAAATCAGAAAGAAATGAGAAAGAAAGAAATAGAATGAATGAAAATAACAAAGAGAGAAAGAAAGAAAGAAACACAGAAAGAAAGAAAATGAATGAAAACGAGAAAAGAAAGAAAGAAAAAATAATGAAACACAGTAAAAGAAAGAAAGGAAAATGAAAGAAAGAAAATGAATGAAAATAAGGAAGAAGTAAAAAGAACAAAGGAAAAATGAAAGAAAGAAAAAGAATAAATGAAAATAAGGAATAAATGAATGGCAAAAAGAAAGAAAGAAGAAAGAGAATGAATGAAAACAAGAAGGAAATGAAAAACGATGGAAAAAAGAAAGAGAATGAATGTTAATAAAGAATAAAAGAAAGAAAGAATGAAAGGAAGGAAGGAAGGAAGGAAGGAAGGAAGGAAGGAAGGAAGGAAAAAGAAAGAAATAAGTAAAATAAATGATTCGAAAGAAAGACAGAAAATGAAACAAAGAAAGAAAGAAAGAAAGAAAGAAAGAAGGAAGGAACATGAATAAAAACAAGAGATGAAAGAAAAAAGAAAGGTAAAAGAAATAAAGAGAATAAATGAAAATAAGAAAGAAAGAAAGAAAGAAAATTAATGAAAATAAAGAAGAAATAATAGAGAGAAAGAAAGAACGAACGAAAAACAAAGAAAGAAAAAATGAAAGAAAGAAAAAAACTAAAAGAAAGAAAAAAATGAATGAAAATACGGAAAGAAAAGAGAAAAAAAGAAAGTATAAATGAAAATAAGGAAGAAAAGAAAGAAAGAAAATGAATGAAAATGAGATGAAAATAAGGAAGAAATGAATGAAAAAGAAAGAAAGAAAGAAATAAAAGAAAAAAGAAAGAGAATAGTTGAAAATAAGAAAGAAAGAAAGAAAGAAAGAAAGAAAGAAAGAAAGAAAATGAAGGAAAATTAGAAAGATAGAAAGAAAGAAAGAAACAATCAAACAAGCAAAATGAAAGAAAAAAGAAAGAAAAAATGAATGAAAATAAGGAAAAAATGAATGAAACCATGAGAGTTATTGGGAGAGGAGGAAGGAATGAGAGAAAAAGTCAAGCGAGATATAAAAAAAAAATGGAAGGAAGCAATGAAAAAAAAGGAAAAATCTGAAGTAATTCAACAAGGAAGAATAAAAAGAAGAGAAAATATTAAAAAAAAAGGCGAAAGAACAAAACGAAAGAAAAAAAAAGAAGGAAGAAAAAAACAAATAAAAGCAAAGAAAGAATGGAAGGAATTATGTAAGATATACAGACAATCAAAAGGAAGTAAGGAATGATAGTCACGGAGAAGGAAGAAATGAATGAAAAAATCAGAATGAACGAAAGCATCAAGGAAGAAGAACCACATGTAAAGAAAGAATAGAAATCCATAGGAAAGGAAAGGAAGAAAGAAAGAATGAATGAATTAAACAAAGAAAGAATAAAAGCATCAAGAAAGAAAGGAAAGAAAAAAGGAGGGAAACTGAAAAAAGGAAAATATAAGGAGAGATGAAAGAAAAGGGGGAAAGAAATGTGTGAGTGTGATAATAGAATTGTGTCTGTGTGTTCGTCCCGCTAATCGTAATGGGTCACTAATCGCCTCGTCTTCAAACCCGAGTCGGGCTGTTAAAAAATCCTCGGCCCTTTTCACAAATATTTTTTTGTGTTTCTTTTTTCTTTTCTTTTTTTGTTTCCTTTTTTCTTTTTCTTTTTCTTTTTCTTTTCTTTTCTTTTTAAATTTAGTCCTGGTAATAAATCAAGACTTATTCTTCGACAAGTTTTTCGAAAACCCGTAATAAAAAAAAAAAAAAAAAAAAAAGAAAAGAAAAGAAGTAACGTACTGGCAATGAATAGTAGGATTATAACGCCACAAAAAATTCTGTTAAAAATTATATCAAGATTTTATTTCGATGACTAATGTCTAAAATTGTAGACGTCACTTTCTTTGGTGTCTACCATTGGAAAATATATCAAATAAAACAAGAAAAAAAAAGTAACGATGTCTATTTATTCAACCTGATTTTTCTATAATTATAGGTCACTACACTTTTTAGCACTATCTACATATATGAGTGCGCGCGTGCGTGTGTATGTGTGTGCGCGCGGGCGTGTGTGTGTGTGTGTGCTCGCGCGCGCGTGTTTGTGCGCACGCGCGTGTGTGTGTGTGTGCGCGCGCGCGTGTGTGTGTGTGTGCGCGTGTGTGTGTGTGCGCGCGCTCGCGCGTGTGTGTTCTGTTTTTATTTAATACCAAAAGGAAATTAGGGGTAAATTTCTTCAAATCTCCATGTAATGAGTTTGCACGTCATACGGCCGTGAAATGCTGTGTCTGTGTGTTCGTCGCAGGTTTCACAGGTGTTTAACTTATACTGGGAGATTGACAAATATTAACAATAACATATATGTATCTATGTATGTATGTATGTATGTATGTATGTATGTATGCATGCATGCATTATTATTATTAAACGTGAAATTTTAGTGGATAGTCTGACTTTACAGTCGGTATTTTTGTTGTGGCGACTGTACCTTTTAATAAATGTACATTCGAAAGTTTTATAAAGTAAATGAAACCGCCGGGTGCGTTCGAAATTACGTTGTGTGCGATGTGTGTGCGATGTGTGTGTGTTCGCGTGTGTGTGCGAGTGTTTATCTGTATGTGTGCGGGTTTGCGAGAGTGTATGTGTGTGCTCAGGCGTATTTGCGTGCGTATGTGCGTGTGTGTGTACGCTCGTGTGTGTATGAAGAGTCTAACAAATGCACAGAAATAACATAAAATGGCACACATGTAAATATACAACAGAGATAGATAGATAGATAGATAGATAGATAGATAGATAGATAGATAGATATGAACAGAGGGATAGCGCAAATACAGAAATACCGCATTTAAATTTAAGCATACCTATATATATATATATATATATATATATATATATATATAAACAGTATTCATTTATAGAGTATATATATATATATATATATATATATATATATATATATATATATATATATATATATTCGTATGTGCGTTTATACCTCTATTGTATTTAACTGCGTACATATATTTATGGTTCAATAACTATAACTATATATATATATATATATATATATATATATATATATATATATATATATATATATATATGACCATATAAATATGGTTAGAACTGTGTAGGTAAAAGCATATTTAAATCAATTAATTTATAATATTAATGCTCTGTAAATTTACATTGTGCACTATTTTGTAAAATAAAATATCTATAACACCGGATTATATATCTTACTGTTCTTTCTTTTTATATATATATATATATATATATATATATATATATATATATATATATATATATATATATATATATATGATACCGTTATATACGTATATGTTGTCTTTTGCGTTTCGAAAACATCAAACATATTCATATATTTATATCGATGCATCTCTGCACATATCTGTTAATATTACCATTTTCATATTTGATATTACCATTTTTATCATTCTATAATATTGTTAATCCCCAAACGTAAATGGCAATATTGGATGTTTCCCTGTAAGGAAACATTTGGTGTCCATTACCCTAGAAGCCAGTAGTACTGCCAGCTGAAATTTATAAAATCTTTCAATAAAAAATTTTTTCAGGAAAATAGGTTTCTCAAGTCCATTACCTGTTATCGATCTTTCTATTAGTATAGGGGTCGATTCCTTCCTAACTGTTTGTGGGGAACGTCTTGTTTTCTCTTTTTCTTCGAGATACATATTTTACTTATTGCGGCTGTTGAAAGACTTCAAGTTATGGGGCCTCTCTTATTTGGTATTGTCCTTTGGGATTCTCTGGCGCCAAAGTTCGATGAAGAATAGTCTTCGGTTGGACCCCAACGCTCCGCCTATTGTTTTTTTAACATTTACATAAGAACTCAATTTAATTGAGAAAAAATTCCCCAGTAATAATCCTCTAAGCATGATTTTTAATAAAAAAAACAACACTTATTTAAGTTACAGTTGTACAAATAACATAGAAAAAAATTATTAAAAAACATAATAATAAAATTTTAAATCTACACTTAAACCAAAGTTACAATCGTTTTTCCAAAACAGAAAAAAAATAATAAAAAATATTGTGTAATTGTAGAAATCCTAATGAATGTCCATTACAGAAAAGGTGTTTTGCTGATTCTATTGTTTACCAATGTACCATTTAATCTAGTGAAAATCCAAGAGTTAAGAAATTTTATATTGGCAGTACAGAAAATCCCTTTAAACTCAGGTGGTATCAGCATTTATCTTCTTTCAACAACAATGCCTACCGTAACCGAACATCTCTTTCTAAATATTTTTGGCGTTGAAAAGAAATTAGTAAAGTTCCAAAGGTTAAAAGGAAAATATTTTAAAAAAATAAATAAATAAATAAACGAGAAACTGTAAATCCTTATATGACCTATGTCCCCCGTGTTTACAAGAAAAGCTGCATATTATAAAGTTTCCTAAAAATAAGTTCTGCTAAACCAAAGAAATGAATTAACAGTTTTATGCAGGCGTAGCTTAAATTTTACATTAAAATATAGTTAAAAGAATTCTTCATAAATATTTTATGCATTACAATTAAATAGCGATTATTGTATAAGTATATAATGGTCCACTCATTTTATTGGATTTTTCAACTTTAATATTGTCTCGTTTTTACTGTCCATTCAATATAATTAGCATCGTATATTAAAGTTCCACAAGAAAAAAAAAATCATTTAACTTTATCTATTTGGCTTCTTTCAGAAGTTTATAAAAAAAACTTTTTTTTTTTTGTTCAAGTTTACTCTATGTCTACTTAACTTTGGATTCGTTACATTATATTCAATGCTGACATGTCTAGAGTGTCAATTTATCAAGACATGAATTTATAACCCACCTCCATCCAACCTCTGACCTTATTTTTTCATTTTTAGATTTTAGCGTAGATCTGACTTTAAAGTGCTAATCCAGACATACCCACAAGAATATGTTTTAATTCTGACATTAGGCTCCCCAGCCTTTTTAACTTTCAAAAGAGGTAACGATTTATTTTCAATTTTCCCAAATAAATCATTTGTATTATGTTATATACCTTCGCCCGATGAAGAATCATTAAAGTTTCGAAACATGAAAGTTTTTGTGTAGCGATGTAAAATGTTTTTATTGTAATCTATTATAATAACAGTTTTTACTTATATATATATATATATATATATATATATATATATATATATATATATATATATTTATTCAAAAATTATGACATATGCATGTTATAAAGTCATTATAAAAATTGTAATTTTGTTTCAACACTACTGGGGTCTTTAATGGCAAAAGTTGTTTGCTCTACTCGGTATTGTGGACTCTTTTCACAATAGTGTTTTTAGTTTTTAGTTATCGGAATTTTATTCTATCTGTACCAATCATGTACTTGTATATATATATATATATATATATATATATATATATATATATATAGATAGATAGATAGATCGATAGATAGATAGGTTAAGGCAGAAATAACGCCTATATTTTCATCAACCATTAAAATGCTGTATTTTTTCACACACTATATATATATATATATATATATATATATATATATATATATATAGGGGATGCGAACACTCAACTCTGAACTACAAGGAAATTGATAAAACTGAGATATTTTAACATATTTTACGAATAGCTTATGCAGAAAATCTTTCAGCAACTAATAGTGAAATTAAATGACTCAATTATATATATATATATATATATATATATATATATATATATATATATATATATGTACCCAAGTATATAATTGGTATATACGGAATGAATTCCAATAACCAACAATTACTATTCTTAAAAGAGTGCTCAATACAAAGCAGATATAATTATGTCATAAATTTTTTTTCATAAAATAATTATATATATATATATATATATATATATATAAATTATCGCTATTTTATATTTGTAATTTTGCGCATTTTTCTTTTATTTTGTCGACTGTACAGTACAGTAGGGTTAGATGTGCAAACAAAACTCCTTGTAACACCAAAGATGAACTTGAAGCAAGGATTATGGTAGCATCCACCATCTTAAACAAGGAGACCGTCCAGAACAGTTGCGGAGATTCCAAAATCGCCTATAGGCCGTGGTTGAAGCCAATAACGATTTTGTTGCATACATTTACTCTTTATTATGTCAATGTATTTTGTGTAATTTGCAAATATATCTGTTAAAATGAGATGTCAGTGCCATTTTCATTTTTGCGTATATATATATATATATATATATATATATATATATATATATATATATATATATACATATGTAAAAAAAAAAATAGGATAGAACACGTTAGGTAAATAATCCGGAGTTAGTATTTTTGTTTTTAATTTTTAAAAAGTGCTCCATACAAATAGAGCTTTAAATTTAGGAATCCTAAATTTAGTATTCCTAAATTTTCGCCTGAGGATGAAACAGGGCTTGATACTTTAATTCAATATAATTTTAATAATTATATTGAGGTTTTCGGCTCTCGTTTTTGAAACATGAGAACTCTTATGTAGCGAAGGAATTATTTTTTTAGTTTTTCAAGGTATTTTTTTTTGGGGGGGGTAAATATATAATTGTTAAATATCAGTGATATTTACATTTTTGGATCATTTAGACAAGAATTTATCCATGGCACACTGTATATGATAAAAATGTAGTTCTTTGGTACAAGTGATTTCTAACATGGATGTAGCTTGTTGTACATAAATAAGAGTGAACACCGATGCTAACACCAAATAGCAACAGTCTGTTTCATGCTGGAACTCAGTAATCCGGACATGAAGAGTACTTTCAAGCATAAAAAAGATTGTTGCCACTCAGTGTCGACTTCAGATACCACTTTCATATTTTTCGTGCGCCGATACCTTAGGGGTAAAATCTCTGACTGATGCCAGATCGATCGACTTTCGATCCCGGCTTGAAGCAATCGGATGCCTAGACACATTAATGAACTGTGATACAGCAAAACAGATTTGTATATAGAAGTGTAATTATACATATGTATAAATATATATATATTACGGCTGAGTGTGTGTGTGTTTGTGTGTGTGTGTGTTTGTGTGTGTGTGTGAATTACATTTATAGAAATTTCGAGTGTTACAAAAACGCAGATCTTTTTTTCTGTGCAGAAAAAGACTGAATATATTTTATAGCTTCTGCGATATTTTGGTTACATAGAAATATACAGAAATGTAATTATATATTAGCACTCGAATATATAGGACTGTATTCGCTCATGTGTGTCAATACATACATACAGTGTGTCCATAATGTTTGTATGCACGTTAAATCATTTATAATCTTAAAGTGCACACGAACTATATGGACACACACACACTATATATATATATATATATATATATATATATATATATATATATATTATAAATTAGCTAATTTAAAATATGGTTTCTTCGCTACACACGAATTACCATGTTTCAAAAACCGAAGCTAAATACTTCAAATTTAATTATATAATTAATTAAAATATAATTAAATTAAAAGCATTAGTTCTGTTTCATCTTCAAGCGAATTTTGGATATTTATGCACTGTAAATTTAGATTGAGCACTGTTTTGTAAAAATAAAAATATCAATAAGAAAATCGGATATATATATATATAAAAGTCAGTTATATGCTATATCAATCATATATCTTTCGATACATGACTGAAGAGGCAGATTTTTTCCCACAGTAGGTTACCATTTCTTTCTGCGGTAGACCAATTGCCATCCTGTCTGTCCTGCTATTTACCCATAGATGGGGTGGGGGTGAAGGAGACGATTCATACCTTTCTCCAGGTTATTAGCGGATGGAATTCAAACTAAGCTCT